AAGGGCCACCACTTACATAGCATGGTAAGGGGGAGAGATCAGTTTCCTTTATGACCCCATCAGGTGGTACCCACACCCTTCTTCTATGTGTTTAAAATAATGGGTGTGACATCATGCCCATGACAAAGAAGTTAAGCATGTTAGGAATCCAAACATGACTCTAAACACACATCCAGTGATGTGTGGCCCAGGTCCCGTCAGGATTGAAGGACTCATTGCCACAGCACCCAGAGCTCTGCTGCACACAGCCCTCACCTGTCAGCCCCCTTCCGAGTGGCCTCAGCTGAAGAGCTGCCTCACCTGGGGAGACATCCTCCTTCCACAATGCCCTGCCTCCAGTGCTCACTTGATTTGGGATGCATAAAAGCCAGGCTTGTTGCCCCAGCTCAGCACAGTTCTGAAAGGTCATCCCATCTTTTGATCTCCTGGGAGGGTTGGCCGAGGTTACAGATGATGCTGAATTGTGTCTCAGCTCTGCCCCTTCCCAAATCCTGCTTCCTCCCTCTCCCTTCCACAGCTGTGGATACCAAGACAGTCCCTGAGAAGTCCTGCGTGCTAATCTCTAGCTCAGACTCTGCTTCCCGGGGGATCCAATCTGCAACAATTACCAACCCCTTGGTTTACTTTTGTTCACTGTTCTTTTTTAAAAAATAGAAATACAATTTACATTTTAAATTGTGTAAAATCTGCATGAATATTGATTTTCTGTGTCTACTTGGATAGGGCATAGTACCTCATTATTCAATTAAACAATAATCTAGGTGTTGCTGTCAAGGTATTTTGTAGAAGTGACTAACACAGTTAGTTGACTTTAAGTAAAGATTACCCTCAAGAATGTGGGTGGGCCTCACCCAATCAGTAGAAGGTCTTAAGAGCAGAAACTGAGGTTTCCCCTGAGGAGAAAAAATTCTGCCTCAAAACTGCAACATCAGCTCCTGCCTGAGTTTCAGCCTGCCAGCCTCCCCTGCAGATTTTGGACTTGCCAGCTCCACAGTCATGTGAGCCAAAACCTTAAAATAAATCTCTCAATATATATATCCTTTTAGTTCTGTTTCTCTGAAGAACCCTGACTTACATAGTCTTCCACCATTACTGGATGTTTTTTTCTTTTTGTTGACTTATCCTTTTTTACTTTACACATTTGGAGGTTATGTTATTAGGTGCAAACAAATTTAAGATCATTTTATCTTAAAGTGGAAACTTTTATTGCTCTGAAATGAACTACTTTTATCTCTGACTTTGTAACTTCTGGTGTGCATAATATTTTCCCCATCCTTTACTTGTTGCTATACTTATATATAAGGTATATCTCTTATAAAGAGCATGTTCAACTTTGTTTTATTTTATTATCTGGTCTGAGGAACTTTATATTTCAATTGGAATACTTCGTCTGTTTAAATATACTGTAATTTAGGCTTAAATCTACCACCTTGCTATTTGTTTTATATTTGCCCTGACTATTCTATATTTTCTGTCCTTTCTTAAGATTTTTTGGATTTTTTAATAATTTATAATTTCACTTCTTCTTTTAGCTTGTTAATTATACTTAAAAATTTGCAGGGGGGTTATTTTCCCTAGAGAGTACAACAGGTATTCTTGACTTAGTAAAGTGCTATTTTTTTTTGCTACTTTAATTTTCTATTTTTGATCTCACAAAGTGATGTTATTTATACAATCAATATTTATCTAGATATGTGTATTCTTGTCATTGCTCTTTGTTATTTTTAATTCCTATGTTTTGTTTCTTTATATGCCACTTACTGTGATAAATGCATTGCGTATGTTTCCTGTCTATCTGAAGACAGCCTTGCCATGTAGATCCCATTTTATAGATGAGGAAATCAAGGCTCAGAGAGATGCAGTACAATAGTGTACTGCTTCATAACTCGGAGCATAAGCTTTGAAAGCCAGTAGACTCTACCACCTGCTCTTACCATTTTGAGCAAATCATTTATCACTGTAAGCGTCTCTTTATCTATAAAATAGATACTAATAACAACAAAAGCACCTACTTCATATTTTGGTTGTAAGACTCTAATAAACTGAGGCATGCTCAATGTCTAATGCAACGTCTGGCACATCGTACCTGCTCTACAAAGCTTCATATCGTTTGCGATGATGATGATGATGAGAATCGTGTAATAGGCATGTTGCACACCATTGCCGCCCTCCCGCTGTGCATCTCAGGGCAACTCCACCCCCTTCAGCATCTAGAAGGAAATGGCATTCAGCAATCCCTGAGAAAGGTGTGGCCACAGATTTGACCCAAGGTCGCCCAGGGTGACTATTTTGTATTGCTTTTATTCTCCTAAAGCCCTTTCCCATTCTGAGATACACAAATATTCTTCCAGGATTTTTATCAAGGCTGATTGTCAACATTTAGATCTTTAATCCACCTGGTATTTACTCGGGGGTCATGTATCAGAATACATATTTAAGTTTATCATGTTAATGTACTTATTCTGCTTCTGGAATTTCTACTTCATCCCTGTTAGTATTCTATTCTGTGCCACCACCACCACCTGTTTTAAATATATTAATATTAAACTATGTTTTTACATCTAGTACAACAAATATCACAAGTCAATCTTTTTCTATTTTGTTTCTATTTTATCTTTTCTCAGCTCTACTCATGAATTTCTTCTTCTAGATGAATCTTAATTTTACTTGAACACGTTTCAGAATAAATCCCACTGGGAATTTAAATGCAATTGCATTAACCCTGTAAGTGAATGATTTTCATTTACTACATTCCTTTTTTCATGTAGCTATCAGTTTTTTTGGCTCTCTTCACATTGTTTGCAAAATTCTTTATAAGTCCATTTGGGTGCTTCATATTTTGTGTTACTATTATAAAAGGGAATTTATTTCCATTAAATATAATAACTTTTTTTCTGAATTTTAGAAAAGCCATTTATGCTTTATAAATTCATTATGTGTCTAGCCACTTAATTATAAAATTTGGGTGTTGGGATCTTTCTAGATAGAGAATCATCATTATCTAAAAGTAATAAAAAGGTAAATTTCTTCTCTTTCCAGTGTTACATATCTTGCTGTGTTGGCTAAAATTCTAGAACATTAGATGATAATAGTGATAGAAAACATCCCTCCCTGGTTCTTGGTTTTGGTGGGGCATGTTAATATCTCATTGCCAGGTATGGCTTTGGCTGTTAATTTCATGTATGTCTTCTATTAAGAGATAATGCTTACATTTCTGGTTTTGCTGCCTGTTTCTCCTCTCCCTCCAATCAAAATGACTACCCTAGTAATAGTAGTAATAGTTGCAGCAGTTGCTAGTATATATTGGGTACTCATCAATACTTTATATAGTAGACATTTAATATAGTCATCTCAGTATTTATAATGCAGGGTTATTGTTATTCCCAGTTAAACATAAAGAAATGGAGGTGTTCACTCACCTTGGTCATAAAGTTCAGCTTTGAACCTTGGTCCATAATAGTCAAAGTGTGACTCATGTATTTTTTCTGTCATGCAAAGAGCTCATGGTCCTTATTCTTCATGTGCCCTCTCCCACATGGACTTCCCACCTGTCTCTGCTCAGCTCTGTGCTTCACGAGGGCAACTTCTGGAGACTGTACTCCCTAGCCTCATTTGCTGGCTGCCTTCTATTGGGTTTGGCCAACTAGGGTCACTGACATGACATTGGAAGGGAAGGAGAAGAGTTCTTCCTTGGCTCTCTCCCTGCCCCAAAGTGAAATCTTTAGTAGTAGTTGAGTCCCCAGTAATAGCCCCTTTACCATTGCTTAGGTGCCAGCCCTACCTCTTCCCTTTCCCTATCTGCCCTAGGAGTGGTAATAGCTTACCATGGGTGCTATCTTTAGGTGTCTCACCACCCCTTGTATGTTTCCTTAGCTTTGCCAAGCTTGTTTCAAGTTGTCCCTTCACTAAAGTCTCGATTAAATAATCTGGTGGGGACCTTGACTTATTCAGAGTCTCTATTTTTTCTAATTAAAAAACATATTTTATAAAACTCCAAGAAGCTAATATAGGAGAAAAACCTAGATGACCTTGGGTTTAGCAATGACGTCTTAGATCTATTTTTAAGTAATTTCTACACCCAACATGGGGCTTGAACTCACAACCAAGAGCAAGAGTCTCATGCTCTACCAACTAAGCCAGCCAGGGGCTATGACTTCTTAGATCTAAAAGCACAATCAGTAAAAGAAAAAATTAATAAGTGCATTCCATTAAAATTAGAAACTTCTGTTCTACAAATGACACTCCTAGGGGAATGAGCAAACAAGCCTCTTTCAAAGGAAAGTTTTTTCAAGGTACATATTAGATAGAGGACTGGTATCTAAAATATACAACGAACTCTTAAAAGTTAACATAAGAAAACAAACAATTTAAAAATAGGCAGAAGAGCTGAACAGATACTTTACCAAATAAGATATACAGATGGCAAATAAGCATGTGAAAAAAGATGCTCAACATGATTATGGAATTGCAAATTAAAACAAGGAGATAGCACTATACACCTACTAGAATGGCCAAAATGCAGGACACTGACAACACCAGATGTGGGCTATGGAGCAAAAGAAACTCCTATTCATTTCTGGTGTGAGTACAGAATTGTAGAGTGACTTTGGGAGTTGGTTTGATGGTTTCTTTCAAAATTAAATATGCTTTTACTATATGACCTAGTAATCATGCTCCTTGGTATTTACCGAAATGAGTTGAAAAATCTACATTCAGACCGAAACCTCCACGTGAATGTTTATTCATAACAGCAGCTTATTTAAAACTGCAAAAACCCCCACAAAACTATAAACCATGAAAAGACATAGAAGAACCTTAAATACATGTTGCTAAGTAAAAAACACCAATCTGAAAAGCTACATACTCTATGAGTCCTACTGTAGGGAAAGAAAAATAATTTTCCCTCTACCTTCTGAGTTCTTAGCTAAGACTCCTGTAATAAAAGACAGACTAACAAGAGAAGAACAAAAAGAAGTTTATTAACATTTCTGCCTCATGTATACGTGGAAGTTTCATGGGGGAAAATGACTAACTGTCTGAGGTGGCTTAGAACTCAGGAATAAATGCCATCTTAATAAGGAAAAGGGAAGTTGCAGGCTTCTTAGGGGAGAGAAAATGGTTTTAGGAAAGCAGAAGGGGCCCTCAGAAGACTCGATGGGGAGTCTGACGGTTTGGGACAGAGTGTGTCTGGATGCGATGCCGACTTTTAGTCTCATCTCCTGTACTAAGAATCCATCTTCCTTGCTGAAGACACTCCCAGGAGGGGATTGATGATGACCTAGTTCCTTTTGGAGGGTCTGACTTAAGGCAGATGAGGGAGATCAGAGTCCTCCTGCATCTGCTGTTTTCCAGTGCTTTCAGGTCAAAGTAATCAGTGTACCAAAGCAGCATATGTTAGGGTGGCATGTCCTGGAGTCCTTCAGTCATATTTTTGGGGCCGCATATTCTGCTTCCTGGAAAATTCAAAACTATGAAGATAGTCAATGGATCAGGGGCTTGGGAGGAGGGAAAGATGAATAAGTGGAGCACAGGGGAGTTTTAGGACAGTGAAATCTTCTGTAGGGTGCTATAATGGTGGATAGGGGGCATTATACATTTGTTCACACCCACAGAAGGTACAACACCAGGAGTGAATCCTAATGTGAACTATGGACTTGAGTTAATAACAATGTATCAACATTGGCTCATCACTTGTAACAAATGTACCACCCTAATGTAAGATGTTAATTGTAGAGGAGACTGCAAGAAGAGAGAGTATATGGAAGCTCTGTACTTTTCACTAATTTTTTTTGGGGGGGGGCATACCTAAAACAGTTCTAAAAAATAAAGCCTATTAATTTTTTTTAAAAAGTATCATCATTTTTAATGCATTTTCAGTAGAAATAATTGTGTAGATTTTCCTTCAACTGCAGATCTGATACATTAAATTGATAGATTTCCTAGTGCAGAGTTGTCCTTACATTCCTGGAATAATTCTGTTTGATCGTGTGGTATGTTCTCATTTTTATTTAGCACTGAAATTGATTTGTTGAAATTTCATTTAGAATTTTTGCACCTATATTCATAAGTGAGAGTGTCTCATATGCTATTTTTTTTAAGTTGAGTGGTTTTGGTGCTGTCTTTCTCAAGCACTGGTACCAAGTTAATATAAGTTCATGAAAATAAATTGAGATTTAAATAAAACTATAGATTAGGCATCTGTGCTCTATTATATACAGTAGAAATTATTTTGTATGAAACCACTTGACCTTGAAAAATTTTGAAGTGGTTTAAAAGTTTCTGAAAAATCCTTTCAGTAGCGTGCATAGTCATTGGATTATTCAGGTTTTCTGCTTCTTTTTAAGTAAAGTTTTATAATTTATACTTGGCCAGAAAATGATGCTTTTCATAAAAATATCAAATTTATTTATTGAATATGTATTTTAAAGTTATCCTTACTTGTATAGTTTCCCCTGAGTCTGTACTCACATCATGTTTTTACTCCCACATTTGTGTATCTTTATTTGAATCAAATTTATTTAATCAAAATAGTAAAAATTAAAAGTGAATGCATGTCTGTTGTTGAGTTTCTCTTATTTATATAACTAGCTTTCAGATTTATTAATCTATGAACTCAGCAGCTTTCCCCTTTCCTGATGTAAGGGAGAAATTTCTCCTCCTCTACCCATTCTAGGTTCTCCAGCAGGGGCTTGTGCATTAGACTAGCCACAGGCAGATGAACATGAGAACACACAGAAGTTTAAGGGCATGTGGGAGCACTCAGTACCCAAAGAGGTGGTTAGATCTTGGGCTTAAATACAGAAAAGGGGTTTGGGAATTTTCTGGTCAGGGAGGCAATTTGTGGGAAAGTGGCCAGGAGAAGTATGGTAAACAAGAGTTGCTTAGTAAGACTTGTTCTGTACATTTAAGTTGGTGCCTTCTTTGTTCTTAAGTGTCCACCTCTTCCAGATACAGGAGAGAGACCCACCTCTACAAATGTAGATTTCCTTTACAAAAGACAAACCTGTACCCTGTTTTTAGAGCTTTTCCTGTGTCTGCTTGTTCTCAATGGCCTTTAGTTCAAAATAGTCCCTATGCTAAAGGGGTATATTTTGGGGTGGCATATTTTGGTACCCTTCAATGATAATTTCTTAATGAGATATGATTGACATATAACATTGCATTAGTCTTAGGTGTACTACATAAGGGGTTGATATATATATATATATGAAATCATGGGGTACTTGTCTTTCTCTGTCTGACTTACTTCACTGAGCAAATTCCCTCAAGGTCCATCTATGTTGTTGCAAATGTCAGGATTTCCTTCTTTTTTTTGTGGCCAAATAACATACCATCATGCATGCATGTGTGTGTGTGTGTGTGTGTGTGTGTAATTTTCTTTATCCATTCCAGATACAAGTCCCTTATAAGATATAGTATATGCAAAATTTTCTCCCATTCTGTGGGAGTTTTCCCCCCACTTTCTTGATGGTGTGCTTAGAAGCACAAAAGTGTTTCATTTTGATCATGCCCAGTTTATCTATCTTCTGTTGTTGTTGCTTATGCTTTTGGTGTCCCATCTAAGCAATCGTTGCCAAATCCAAAGTCATGAAAATTTACACTTAGGTTTTCTTCTGCAAGTTTTATAGTTTTGGCTCCTCCATTTTGGTGCCGATCCACATTGACTATGTTTTGTATGTAATATGCGAGAAGACTTCAACTTTATTCTTTTTCATGTGGACATCTAGTTGTCCCAGCACCATTTGTTAAAAAGACTATTCTTTCCTCCATTGAATTGTCTTGGCACATAATTTTAACATAGGGTTTGTCAGGTTATTTATAAATGGTTTATAGTTAGTAACTTTCATTTCCTAGTGAGCTAATGTTTGAAAAGTTTGCTTTTTAGTCTCAAGTGATTGGATTCTTTTAAATGTTTTACCAGCATTAGTTTTTATTTTTATCGCATTGTTGTGAGAGACTGTCATGTACAAATCAAATATTATGAAAATCTTATAAACTATATGAAATATGTGATTCAGTTAATATTTTCCAAAAACTTAGAAGGGTATATTTAATCCGATGTGGGTAACAAAGGCAAAAGGAAAAAATTAAATTTCCTTACCACAGCCCATTAACTAGTCCTTGAAACAAGCAGAGTGACCTTCCTCTGAGACCTCAGCTGCTTCAGTGTTGACACTTTCTTAAAGGCAAAAGGTAATCTTAGTTTAACATTGTCTCAACCCCCAAAATTCTGTAAGTCTTCCTTAACATATTAACAATTCCTTTGGAAACTTCTTTTATCTCTACCCCCCAAGATCTTTGTTAGCAATCATCCTCCAAACATATGGCCCACTGATATACATCTCAAGGGTCTCATGACTAAGGTTTTATTAGACAGTAATACATGACCTTTTCCCAACAATAGCTAGCTCCCTCAGGGTCCTGGAAACCTTGCTTCCAAAAGTCCTTAGAGACTTATGCTATATCCCTGACCCCCTCCCAACTTGAAAGTATATAATCAGTCACCCCACACAAGTCCAGACCAGCTCTTTCTGCCCATGGGTCCTATCCCCATGCTTTAATAAAACCATTCTTATTGCACTGAAAAAATTTCCACATCAAAATCTTTGTAAGGTAAAATGTTTAACATATATTAATTAGATCTTATTAATTACATCATTAAAATCCTCTATAGACTTTCTATTTTGGTCTTTTGATTTATGATTATTGAGGATAACATGTTTAAAATTCCCTTATTTCTTGCATTTCCAAATGTTTTTATGTTATTTATTTTAGAGATACACTTTTAATGCATTAAATTTCATGACAATTTTATCTTCACTGTGATTTTTCCCTTGTGCATATAAAATGATCATCTTTGCAATGTTCCATGCCTCTTCACCTTGGATTCTCCATTGTTGTGCTTTCTTTGGTTTGTGTTTCTTTGATATATCTTTTCACATGCTTTAACTTTCAATTCTCTTATTTTACTTATAGCATTAATCTTTTTCTTTTAATAAAAAAGATTAAAATAGTTTATCAAATTACATCCATTTAAATTTATTTTTGTAGGTGATATATATATATATATATATATATATATATACATATATATAATTGTTAATGATGATGATTAATAGTAATAATAGTAATAATCAGCAGCAGCAAGAGCATTGAACTTTGTGAGCCAGGTACTGCTAAGTACTTTTTGAGCATTATCCTATTCATCCCCAAGATTAACCTATAAATTAGGTTTTAAGTAACCCACATTATAGGTGAGGAAATCAAATTTTGGTGCCAATTGGATTTGACATTTTTTATCTTTGTTTTCTTGTTGGCCTGCGCTTTTGTTCTTGTTTTCTCTCTTTTTTAAATAAATTGATTATTTTTAATGTTTTTTAATCTCTAACAATTAGAATGGTGTATACATATACTTTTAATTATCTGATAAGTTTCTTTGAATCTTAAAACATGCACTTGCAACAATATTGATTTCATTACTATTGCCAAAGAAAGTTTCTACTGATACTTCTTGATGTAAAATTAGAAAATTAGCAGCTTCGTATTTCTTGCTCTTTTCCTCCATCTAATTCTTAATTTTGGTTGCCAATAATCTGGAATTTAAAGGTGTGTGTGTGAGAGGGGGTAGAGAGACAGAGGTCCCTTTCACTTTTAGGAACATTTAAAAAATATATGCACTACCCCAATGTCCACAATAGCCAAACTATGGAAAGAGTCAAGATGTCCATCAACAGATGAATGGATAAAGAAGATGTGGTATATATACACAATGGAATATTATGCAGCCATCAAAAAATGCAAAATCTTGCCATTTGCAATGATGTGGATGGAACTAGAGGGTATTATGCTAAGCAAAATAAGTAAATCAGAGAAAGACAAGTATCATATGATCTCACTGATATGAGGAAATCTTAATCTCAGGAAACAAATTGAGGGCTGCTGAAGTGGTGGGGGGTGGGAGGGATGGGGTGGCAGGGTGATAGACACTGGGGAGGGTATGTGCTATGGTGAGCACTGTGAATTGTGTTAAGACTGATGAATCACAGACCTGTACCTCTGAAACAAATAATACATTATATGTTAAAAGAAAAAAAAGAAGATAGTAGGAAGGGAAAAATGAAGCTGGGGGAATCAGAGGGGGAGACAAACCATGAGAGACTATGGACTCTGAGAAACAAACTGAGGGTTTTAGAGGGGAGGGGTGTGGGGGGATGGGTTATCCTGGTGATGGGTATTAAGGAGGGCACATATTTGAATGGAGCACTGGGTGTTATACGCAAACAATGAATCGTGGAGCACTACATCAAAAACTAGATGTAATGTATGGTGACTAACATAACATCATAAAACAAAATTTAAAAAAAAAACCTTCCAAAAAATATATGCACTATGTCTTCAACTTTTTAAAATAATTATTACAATATTTATTTATTTATTTATTTTTAAAGATTTT